TTTAACGTGCCCATAGGCAGTTAGTCGTGTCTTTATTACTCTATGTAAAGGATTCTTTACTTATTATATCACCTTATTGTGTATAATAGAATTTGAATCGCTTCAAGTAATTTCTTATATTGGTTGTGTAATATAGTTTGTGAGTAATAAACTAGTTAATAATAGGGGTAATATCGCACGCGTAGTAATTAAACATCTCCTGTATATAGGTTTAGGTAGGTATACTACAACTGAGTAGCAATCTTCCTAAACACGAGAGTTGGCATCTATCCAAGGCGAGTCGGTTCATAGAAGGCTTAGGATTGGAAAGAGTCTTAAGCAAGAAGTAAGGTATCAAGGTAGCTATGTGTTAGTGCTGTAGGTTCAAGGACTGGTTGAGCTTACAGTAGAGAGAGTAGTAGAAAGGTCTCCACAGGACACTGTAGGCGAGAAGCTGAGAAGGGTGACTCTTCAAATTTTAGAATTTTGTCTGCAGTCACGGCACTATTACTTTTTATTACTGCTGCTAATTAAACTTTTAACATTCTTTATTGAAAAAAGGTTACACTGTCGTATACAAGTATAAGTTTTTTAATAAATATTAAGCAAAACTTTTATTGTTCTTAAAGACTATTACTTGAAATAAATACCGATAAACATTTCTCTATTTTTTTTTAACTTTACAAAGTCAATGAACAATAGTTTAGGCTTACTTCAGATTTATTTTAACTGTTTACTGTGACTATCATCGCAAAATTCAGTAATCATAACAGATGCAGCAACTATTTTTGGTTTAAATTTATTTTGACCTTAAACTTTCTACTTTTTCTTTTCGTAATTTGCTTTAAAATACAAATAGTGGAAAATTTAATCTTCCTTGGTAACCGACTGTTGAAATTGCTTCTTAAATATTAATAATAAAATTAAATAGATAATTTTTTTATACATTAATTTTTTGGAACAGTAAAAGCACTAAATCTTAAACCAATTCAGGAATTTTAATTTGAGATGCACTTTTGAGCAATAATTTACAAGTAATTTATACTGTAATAATAAATTGACAAATGTCTACAAAATTTAGCATAAACTTAGCTTCTAGAATTTTAGAGATTGCAGGTAAAAAATTAACAGCATAAAAAAGTTCAAAAGAAATTTTCACTACAATGTCTTAGTTTATGGCATTTTAAGCATTTATCTGAAAGTTAGCATTCTTTAAAGCGTTAGATGTTCGGTAGAGAAACAGCAGATGTAAGAAAGCTTTCAAGTAGAAATTAATTTTCAAAAACATTTCTAGAAGCAAACTCAATTTAATCCTAATGGCTCTCTATTTTGACCGCTCAAAGAACAGTACCTTTATTTCATAGACCATAAAAATATCATTAAAAATATTTTTTCTGACCAAGTCTCTGCTAAGGACAAGAAAATTGGTACCAAGTTTTTTTTTTTCATTTATGCATTAACC